AATTTTAATATAAAATTTGACTGTTTTGTATTTTTTTTTTAGTTTTACAATTTTATTTGTTATACAATAATTTCATATATTTTATCATTTTTTACTTTTCTTCTTTTTGAATTACCAACTGTTCAATTGCTTGAATTTTGTTTTAAGCGTTCAACAAAATTGCATTGAATTCTATATGATGAACATGTATTATTTTCTTGCTATAGTTTAACAATATTTTTAAAAATATATTTCTATAACTTATTGAAGATTATTTTTATATTAATTCATTTTCTTTTCTATTTTCTTCGATTATTCTAATTGTTGGGAATTTATTTGTTTGTATTAATATGCATTAACATTTTCTTGAGATTTTTGCTATTGGGAAGGTTTTATTATAGAGCTCGTCGTAAAAGTCAATCATATAATAATAAATGACATCGTCATTCAAATTTCAAATTAATTAGAACAAAATAAACATTTTTAAAATTAATTATATATTTTAGAATCTAGCTTTGATGTAATTTATCGTGAAATAATGAAAAAGATAGGTAAAATAGGATATGATGGAGATCAAAATATACATTTCAATATTATATAGATAAATTTATTATTAAAAACCATAAATATGAAAACCAATATCAAACAAATTAATTGGAATTAACTTCATAGGTCAACTTACGAGGAAACATATCCAACTGATTCCGAGCTTTCGGCTTCATCTTTTGGCTACAGGTAGGCCTCAGTGAGACTAAGAACACCCTAGAAGCGTTCGTTCCCATGGCGTATTAGTGAAGAGTTATGGCCGTTTTACTGGATTTTTTACTCGGGACAGGGTATTTCCAAAAACCTTAAAACAAATAATTTTGACCTGAAATTTTGCCCATAGATAGATCTATTAGTTATTAGAAAGTCCTGAAAATTTTAAAGAAAATGAACGTGCCTTTCTCGAGATATTCATTTTTCAAAACAAACAGCCTCTTATTACAGGAGGACCAAATTGCCAAGTTCATTGGAAATTAAATATTTCAAGAAAGGCACGTTCATTTTCTTTGAAACTTTCAGGACTTTCTAATAACTAATAGATCTATCTATAGGCAAAATTTCAGGTCAAAATTATTTGTTTTAAGGTTTTTAGAAATACCCTGTCCCGAGTAAAAAATCCAGTAAAACGGCCATAACTCTTCACTAATACGCCATGGGAACGAACGCTTCTAGGGTTTTCTTAGTCTCACTGAGGCCTACCTGTAGCCAAAAGATGAAGCCGAAAGCTCGGAATCAGTTGGATATGTTCCCTCGTTAGTAGCATATTCGTAGTTTTACTTGGAACTTGATTGTCTATTGAAAGATGCTATATTATGTGAGAGGGGTTGTTGTAGGAAACACATGCTTACTTCGATCATTATAAGTTTGGTCAAATAAACAGACATTGACTAATCTTTACTGCTGTAAGTCCAAATTAAAGCATTTACAGTCGAAGTGTTTGTCTGTTAGAGAGCAGTCTGACAAAATGCATTTATTTTCTTTGTGTTTTTATGTGTACGCATATGAGTTCTGGTGAACGTCTGTTTTTTTCTTATTCTTACTTTTTGTTTCTATAGATAATTCATGTCATCGTTTTGTACATATCCAGGACAATTGTTTTCTTTGTCCTAGGAATCATTGATATTCTTTTACGCTTTCTTGTTCTAAACTATATCTGCTGTTGCGTAATTGGAAAAGAACTTGCATGACAACATCTTTGTTTGATATTAATCTAATTTCACGCTGACAGGGATATCACTGATTGTTCTTCTTCTTTTCTTTGTTTCCTCTCTAGCTTTCTTTTCATTATGTCTCTTCTCTTTGCTTCTTTTTTGTTCCCATGGGATTGATTGTTTGAATGATGTAGAAAAAGGGATATATTTTCCTAATTAAACTGCTTAAGTTAATTCGGAAAAAAAATTTCCACTCATTTGGCTCTATTACTACTTAGGAACTTATGTATGAATGCCAATATCTGTTGTTTCAGCTTTCAATGATCCGAAAATGGGTTCCATCATTTTTCTTTTTTTTTGGTTAACTGCTGACCGTGTCAATTCCAGGCTCCGTTTATTGAAGTTTCCGCGATTTATCCAATCTGGCTCTCACTGCTGATCCGTATCTTTCGCACAGAAGTTACTATAAAAAGAAGATTCAAAACTCAGTATTTTGAAGATAACTCTGATTTTTTCGCCTCATCATCCGCATCACAATTGACCCAACACTTAAAAGATAATCTAAAATTCCATCTAACCTAATCACTTAAATACTTCACAAAAGTCATTACGCGAATCAAGACATGAATTATAATCAACAACAATAGCAAAACTACACATACTATACATGAATAACCATGTTGAGAGTGATCTCAGCTTTCATTAGAATTAAATTAGACATCGATTAAAAGATTGCATCGAATTCTGTCTACCATAAATATTTTCTCAATTTGACACAACTCTTGCAACGAATATTTGACCAAAATGCTGCACTTTTTTACTAAAACTAATATTTGAAAAGTAGTTTTTTGAATTGTTTAGCGATTTTCCTCGATAGAAATTTTTCGAAAGTTATACATTCTTTAGTATATTCGGTGTTCTATCTGGTACAACCAGTATTTTTTTTCGAGCACAAGTCTTCAGGCGAATATTTTCCCCAACATCTTTAACAACAATGATCAAACTAGATAATTCTTTTATGCTGTTTCTTATTCGTATTATATAGTTGCATTATTTATTTGATTCATTTCACCAAGATAAAAAAGATTCTTTTAAATATATTAAATAAATAATATGATCAAACGGTTTGTTTCAACAAGAAATATGCGATTCTAATTTTATTGAAATTTTGTTTTGTTCTTCTGTATATTCGTATGAAAATCTGGTAAATATTACAAAATAAATAGTTGCTAATATTTCTGATTATTTCAAAGCATAAATAAAATCCATATCCATAAATACTAACTTGTTACTAAAAGAAGACATGAGATGAAAAACGCAAATATTAATAAGTTGATACTACGAAAGAAAACATTCCTATAAATGGATTTCGAGGTCGGTCATGATAACCAAAGATCTTAACATATGATTTGATGTATACATGAGAACTTAGAGTCCTAGGTCAAAAAGACGCATATGACCTATATAAAATAAAACTATATATAATCTATTTTTTGCTGTATCGTAAAGCACATAACAATAACATAGCCAGACTACTGAAAACTAATAATAGAAATCTCATCATAAATGCTAACAACTGTAACGTTTCTTTATCAGTTAATGCTCTTCAATGACAATTATCATTAAAGTTTTTATCATGAAAAGCAACAACAAACTGTGTCATTTACATATTGACAGGTGTCATTATAAGAACTCATTAGTATATTATAAATATAGCTGATAAATAAGAAGAAAACCATAATATTAAATAACAATCTTCTAATTTTCTTTTTCGAAAGTTTCAATGATTAAATAAAATAAAACCAAAACTACATCATGTCTAGCGTTTCTACACGAAATATATAATCGTATTACTAAAAAAAACTTGATATGTAAGTTAAAACAAATAAAAAATTCTTAATATAAGGCACTATTTTTGCACATAATACTTCCTGTTGCGTTATCAAGTGCAATAGGAATACTTTTAGTCTTAATGAAACTGACAAATGCTTTTAGAATATAATATTCTGCTTATATGACGACACATGACGTTTGTCTTTGCGTCAATAATTGCATTATCGCTTTTTTAAGGTTATTAAGTGAAAACAAGTAATACAAATAAATATTTCTTATTACAAAAAAAAGAAATTCTGTTTTCTATTAATTAATCAGAAAATAAATTTATTATTCAAATATAATCTATTAAAATCCATTACTTCGTTGATTCTGGTTTAAAAAATAAAAATAAACAAATTCAGAATATTTTCTTTTTCTACTCAATGCAATTTCATACGTCTTATCTATAGTTCTTTATTTCCTATTCTCCAGTAACTAACATCCAGGGTATGTATTATATGTATTCTCATGAAGATAACAATATAATAGTTCTAATAGGAAACATATTTTAGACAAATGATCAAGAATATGCTGACAGGATTCTGGTTTGTAATAGAATACACATTCTCTTCTACCACAAGGAAAAACTAAAAATAATCAACAAATAAATAAATTTATTCTCTTCTTTACTGTATTCTTATTTAATTGACAGCAACAATTTACAGATATAAACAATACTTTAGTTCGATTCATCATCAAATCTATAATAATATTTTTAACTTTAAGATATTTCAAATACTTGATCAATATTATTTGATGCTAAATATAAAACAGAGAATTTCGTCTAAATATTCAAACTTCTAACATTTTTATTTTCTACACAATTATATTACAATAAAAACCAGGGTCTATTTTATTCGACTAATAGACATCTGTCTGTCAAAAGTGAAGGTTTCTTTTAACATCCATTGACGTGTTGGTCCATTCTATTAACAATAACATATCTATTTATATAGATTTTTCTTCTGGTCTAATTATCTGTACACTATTCTGCATCTTTTACGCATAAGATATAATAAAATTGTGTGAATATTGCAATTAACATTTATTCTTTAAAAGGTCAACTATATTCGATTTAAACAAATAAATTATGCAATAAAATTGATTAATTTCTAAGTAATCAGTCTCATTCTTTCATTAGAAACCATCCTTAATTAAAACTATAATCACAATATTTAATACAAATATTCATTTTACCCGCATAAAACAAGATAAAAAAAAAAAAGAGAGAAATGGGCTGGAAAGATTTCGCATGAACAAAACAAAGAAAAATTCCAATACTAAAATTTTTTTAGACAAAAAAACGAAGATAAAACAATAAAAAAAATCTTCATTCTACATAAATTCAATAATAAACAAAAGGACAAACAGAAAACAAAACAAATATCATACACTGAATTGATCGCTATCTGTAATAATAATATTAAAAAAAGAACAAAAAACAAAAAATTATGTATGACCAAACATCGTTCTTGAATATATACGATTACAATGAACACATAAAACATGATCATCTATTGGATAACATCCTTCTTCACTTGTAAATTGTAATTTACAATTCTAGAAAAAAAAAGTATGAAAAAAAAAAATTTTTTTTTCTCTTAGATTTTAAAATTTACTTCACATCGATAACAATCAATATGATAACTTCGATCAAGTGCAACAATACGTATAGTTTCTTCTTGACCATTCATTGGTAATATAGGCCGATGACATGAATAACAACGTGGCGCAAACTTTTGATGAAAACAATCAATACAATGTACTTCCATCGTTGCATCAATTGTAAATGGTACACCATCAAGACTCTTATTGCAAACAATACAACAAAAACATTCAGCATGATAAGGTTTACCCGTTGCACGGAGAATCTATTAATAGAAAGAAAAAAAGAAAATGAAAATACAATACTGGAAAAAAAATATAAGAGCAACATATTTTTGCTGTTTTCAATGTCAAAATTTCATAGATATTCCATAAGACTTTGTGAAAATTAGCTTTGAAGAATATCATCTTAAAGAATACAAAATTCTATGTAAAATGAGAAATTACTGCATTTTCTGTGACCTTTTCTTAAAACTTACAAGCATCACAAATCAAAATTTATCATATCATCGCTAAAAGATGTATTTTTTGTTACTTTATGATGCTTGTAACATTGTAGGGAAAGGTTGTAGGAAATGGGGTAACCCATCATTGTACTGAGGATTTTATGCTCTTTAAGATAGTAGTCTTCAAAGTTAGTTTTCAAAAAGTTTTCTAGGACATCTATGAAATTCCAGTATGAAATGCCTCTGATAGAAAACTTCATTGACTATTCAAATCACTATATGAATTTGAGTTAAATGCTTGATATTGTAAAGAAAAGAAAGAAAAACTACGTGGGTCTTATATTTTTAGTTCGACAATAGTCATAATAATTCTTAACGAAGCAGAATGTACAGCCGTCACATAATAAAAAGAAAATCGATGACCTATACATATTTATCAAACAATTGATAATTATGCGTTGTAGTCATACTACATCTCTATTGACAGTAATTACTTTGTTTTATAATCATTTATTATAATTTTCGACATCTGGTCATTCGTTGATTCTGTAATTTGTCTTTTCTTTTATACGAACGATTTACAAGATTTTTTTTTTTTATTTATTTAACTTACTCTATCAGTAATTGGTCTTGCGCAGACAACACATTTTTCTAATGAATTCTAAAAGAAAATAAATAAATAAATAAAAATTTTTTTTTAATCAATAATTAAATATTAACTTACAATATAACATGATTCACAATATGGCTTATTTTCCATTGAATAAAAATGCATACCACGTAAACGACAACCACACATAGTACATGTAAAACATGATACATGATACATTCTATCCATAGCTACAAGTCCATTTTCTTCTCCAACGATTTCATCATTACATCTTGCACACATACCTTTAAAAAATGGTAAAAGATTTTGATATTCGAATGAATGAGAAAAAAAAACAAGAAGTAAAATTTTTAACTAACCAAAAAAATGCGGTTCATTAGATGAATTCATACTTTTCATTAATAATTTTGTTAAATGATCAACATCAGATGAATCTCGTTTCATTAAATTTCCACTACGCATAGTAAATGGTGTTGAATTCGGATGTGAAGATGTTGGAGGAAGATTTACAACAGATGGTGATCGATGTTCTGAATTATCTAATACTGGAGATTTATTACTATTCGGACTTGTATAAGCCATTAATGGTTTAAAACGATTAGCAACTACATTTGATGTATATCGATTATCAATAGATGAATCACGATGCATATCAATCTGACGAATTGACTAAAAGAAAAAAAGAAATTTTTTTATATTTTATAATTTTAATTATTCAATTTTTTTTTACAGGTGATGTTCGTCCAAGCATATGTATTGATGGTAAAGGAGATGGTACAGATACTTCTCGTTGATTTGTACTTGTTGGTGTACTAAGTGAAATATGAAAAGCGTTATCATTTCCATTAGCATAATTAATTGATTGATTTTTAATTCCTTGACGATTGATTGATATTGATGGTGAATCGGGTCGTGATATACGAATTTCTTTAAAAGTTGATTTTGTTGTATTAGGTGATGATGATGAAAAACGAATTTCAGATCGATTTGGTGAACCTCTAGATGCAATTGTTATAACTGGTGATTGAGATGAACTAACACTTATTACAGCTTTACAAAAAAAAAATATGTTTATGTACAAAAATTAAATTTAATAGTTGGATTGTTTTATTACAATCACACTTACAACGATTATTGTTATAATTATTACTTGTTGGTGTTGTCGATCGATGTTGTAAATTTTTTGTAGTTGTTGGTGATGATGGTTCATGATCAGATAAATATGAATTTGAAAGTGAAGAACCTAAATAAATAATTAAAAATAAAAGTAATTGATCTCCTTTCATATATACATATAAAGATAGGTTTTTTTCTCGCATTATTAGACAAACAAAACTAACACTTGATTGCTCATTTAGAAAAAAGAAACCTTGATCGCTTCATCGAGGTATATCTTCAATATACAATCTTTTCTATTCCTTGCGATGATTGGCTACGTTAACAAGAATCGTTCTTTATGTTGTCAACTAAAAGATCGTTATATATGTATATGTAATAATACTCAGAACGTGCCAACATGTCTATAACCTTCGATTTATCATCCAATCTTTGATAAGAAACCATTGTATATAGTTACTTTTTTTTTTAAATGGACAAAAAAAGGGGAAATAAAACAGAACACAAATATATAGTGCACATTCAAATATAGTCACCACAAGACATGCAGAAGGCAAAAAAAAAACAATAATAAAATCCTACGAGATTTATAATGATGATTGAAACTATAAAAAAAATTAATAACAATAGAGTTGTTTAAGAGCTTTGTTCGTTCTTTTTTTAAATGATTACCTGAATCTGATCGACCGATAGTTGTTTGAACAAATGGAACTTTAACAGGTACAAATTGATAAGTATTATTGATAACTGGTGATGTAGAAAACGCACTTGGTGGGGGTGGAAATTCAATTGAAAGTGATTCATTTGATGATGTAGATTCATCAACATCACCATCATCATCGTCATCATTCTCGTTTACTAAAATAATAAAGTCAACCACACATATTTTCATGCGTCATGCTTGAACAAATCATATAACAAATGAAAAATCGATGGATAAAAAACATGCAAAACTGAGTTATTTTTTCTTACCGTTTGTTTGATTAAATGAAAAACGACGTTGAGATTGATTTTCACGAGATTGTTGATAATCATTTTGTTGACGATGATTATTTATATAATCAAATGGATCAGGAGTTATTTGTGAACGATAAAATGGTTTTGGTCCAACTATACGAGTTGCTGTTGATGATAGATTTGGTGATTGACGATTTATATTCATAGGGGAATCTAAAGTACTATTTTGTCGATTGAAATATTGTGCTTGACTTTGAACAAATGTGTTATTTTTTGATGATAATGGCGACGAAGACATCGATATTTATATATGTATATCCAGAAGAATAGAATATGCGTATGTATGTATGTGTGTAACAACAACGACAATCAGAATCCTCCCACACATACAAAAAAAAGGATGGTCTGAAAGAAATAAAAAGAAACGACGAAGACAAGAAGAGAGAAAGAGAAAACAAATAAAGCTGTATCATCAGAATCGGTGATAGATATAGAAAGAACAAGAAAGTGCTAGGATGTGTTTTCCGTTCTAACTAGATGATGATGCTATATCGGATGTTCATTTAGATGAGATCTTTTTTCTCTTATTTCCAAGTATAAGTCAAAACATACGAGACAAACAGTCGATCAGATACCTGTGGTGCATCCTTTGAAAAGCCTCGATATATCAGCTAACTTTTACTCTAAATGTCGTCGATATAAAATATTGTCATTTTATACGTATTTTCTTTACATAGAAAGAAATCTTCGAATTAGTATGTTTACAGAAATAAATAAATAAACATCAGAGATCATGCTTGAAAATCTTTTCCTCATGAAACTCATTAAATGATCAAATAATAACAGATGATTATTAAATATATGAACAAAGAGTAATAAATTTCATCGAATATATATTATATTGATCAAATTTTTATCTAAAATAAAGTGAAAAAAAAGTTTTTTTTTTTTTTTTAAATGAACTAAAAATTATTTTACCATCAATATTAATCAATCAGTAATTCGTCATATATGAATTTAATTAGTAAACTAAAGCAAAAATAACTATTTGAATGTTATGATTCACTATGCATTTGATATGAACTAAATCCATATTCATTATTAATAAATTTGATATTTGACACGTCTGGGTTATTTTTTTACGAGTATGTACATTCTCTATACAAATTCAGTGGACATAAAATTCTATGTAGGTGATGAAATAATATTCTATTCGAATAGATACTCACGTTTATCAAACTAATCAAACAAAAAAAAGTCTGTTTGCATGAATTAGCTATCACTTATTAGTAAGCATTAGTCAGATTAAGATTCATGATTCCATATTATATTTGTTCTGGAATGAAAGTTTTAATCGATCAATAGTTGTCGGTAGTTGCCGATAATATTTTTCTTTTATGTTTTCATTTCATCTCATCTCCTATGTTGTTCATTGAATGAAAGACGAACAATACTCAACTTAAGTGTAACATATCTTTTCATAGACACTTATCTTAGACAATGTATTTACATATATCTCAATGAGAATATTGGATGACAAGAATTTCGATCTGAATTTAAACTGGTCTCATTAACTCTGTAAAGAAATAACACTTTTTATGAGTTAATGACAACAATTTAAGTCCATACCAAGCAGCAAAATTGTAATCGGTAGAGAATTATTGAACCTACTCAGGTTTTTACAAGTTTTCAAGAAGATATATTATGTTAGAGCTGTTTATATCTATTAAGCTTCTCAAAGTGACTTTTTTTCCACTCTGATTTTGCAGACAAATCTAACCTTTCTCTTCGACAAACTGAAGAAAATAAAACTATTTGATTATTTTGATAAGAGTACTCAAGCTTGCTCTCGACATATTTTATCAGAGAAAAATGACATATCAATAAAATTTCTCTCAACTGATGAAGACCGGTCGGTCCGGTTACAGCTCTGATAAGTACTATAGATTATTACCAGTACAGCCATACAGATGATTAGTAATACTGGAATTCATTGACGTTGATATTCGATAATATTGATATGTCGATAAGATTCTAAAAATGAAGGAATTCATCTAGAAAAATAGTTAACCATTGCCATGGCTAACCATGTCATATTTTGAAAAAAAATGATTCAATTCATGATAGATAAATTTCAAACTCTATACAGATCGAATAAAAACATGGCAGATGATAAAAATCGTAATTATACAAAATAATAAAATCTTAAATTTTCATGACATTTACTTTGTATAAAGAACAAAACACTATCAATAAGAAAAAAAAACATCTATCAGTCAAGCTGAATAATATGAAACGAATCTGATAATTTCACTGAAACTTAATCGAATGTAAAAGTTCTGATGACAGTCAGATGTCAATAGAATGAGGAGAAAATCTATCTAATCAAGTCGTCGTTCTTGATTTTAATGCGTATAAGCATCATGTCCTTTATGATGCATCAATTTTTTAATATTAAAAGCACTGTTGCATTTCTTCAAGTGTGTTTTGTTTAGTTCTGTTATAATAAACAACAACCGAAAAATGATTCTCTTTTCACAAGAGATTTAATCAAATAAATGAGTCACTAGACAATGAAAATGATTATAAGTCATATTCTTCAATTTATACTTGTACACACTAAACAAATTTCTTCTTTACTTATTTAAAAATTTATGCACTTGAATCATTCTATAGTCGGTCACGTATGCATTCGGCTTCCATACTTTGCGTATTTTTTGCTCTAACAAAATCTGTACTTTATGTCGCAATTTTCTAGAGAGCGGCGAGTCACTAGAAATTCGTTCGAACTTAGTCAGAGAGATCAATGTCTGGAGATAATACAAATGGTTTTGAATGTTCAATATGGTTTTTCATTCATCTTTGGTAAGTACCGTAAAATGGTGGTTTTTATGGTTTGGCCTCCATCTTTTATCAGAGATAATCAAAATTTTGTGAGCTAATCTCCAGTCAGCTGTTATGAGCAGGAGAAATAATGAAAATCTTCGACAGAGAAGAATCAATTCCATGTGAAATTGTGTATCATTGTTATGTTAGTTGAAATTCCTTTACTGGAAATTGAGATCGCTTCGCACTGCATTTATGTAGACATTTGCCAGTTTTATTTTTTATTTTTTCATTATTAGACATAGGCATTGGAAGTTATCATTTTCCGCTGTGATGATCTCAAGAATGGAGAGTCAGAAAATATCGAGTTTGACGTTCTTGTACTGTCTTATTCACGCATTGAAGAAAGTGATGGATTTATATGGAATCTTTTTCTGCATGAAACTCTTATATTTGAAATCAAAATCTATGATATCTCTTCAGCTCTATACCTTTGTTACGACGTTAAAAATAACAAAGACTAAAAAACAAGCTCAGATGGTCGCAGCGGTCTATTTCCCAAAATCAGGAAAATAGGCAGGACACATTATGACTTAACGTGGTACACTATTGTTAAGGATGAAGCTTGCACAAAAGTAAGTCAATCAATGATAGTTCATTGAAATTACTAAATTATCTTTCTTCGAATATATACTTCGAGTTCTGATTTTTACTTGTCGTTCGCTCTCTCTAAGTGTGCATTGTGCATGTTTTTTTTCCTCAGGTATGTAATATTAGGGAGAAGACCCTCCTTACTTTTGGAGTCTCAATTTTCTTCTAGTCGAAATCGCATTTTTATCAAGAAAAAAGTTATAAAATGAAAAAAGAAAGATCTTCATTCTCGCACTTTTAAAGATACTATATCCATCTTTTCGGCACTCAAACAATTTCCTTGCATCATGTCTTCTCTTCGCACATATAAAATGACCACGTTACAAATAAATAAGTAGAAGCGTTTACGTGAAAAATTTAGTATATCAACTGAAATGTTAGAATAAGAGAGTACAATACTTAGTGCAGCTTCGCACGATCGAAAACTGTATGAAATACATATCGCTGAAGTACTGATGATAATCACTAATGATAAAATAGCTGCTTTTAAAAATCAATTAATTAATTCGGAATAATCAAAACTTAAGCTGATTAAAAGAAAAAAAGAATGATCGAAATAAATGACAAATTTGTTTGAACGTCATCTTTCTTTTTATAGGAAATATTCTATAGTAACAAAATAATACGTCAAAATGACGTATATGTGATCCTACAGAGATAAATATTGAAAAATCAGCACACCTCAAAAAATCACAAAAGTAGTATCTCTGCGAAGCGTGCAAGTTTATTGCAGTCCCATCAATAGAGTGAATATATAAATATCTCATGAAACAAGGATTACTGATAGTTCAAACAGTGCTGCATAACTCTATAACATTTAACCATTCTTCAGTTGGTTTGATTATATGAGAATATCGATCAAAACTGTTTACTTCTGACTTACAAAGGAATATTCCCAAGTGATACCAACCATTCGGGCTCACATTTTGCTCATAAGTAGCATCCAGTGAGATTAGAAAAAGTCTAAAAGATTTCGTGCCATTAGACCTTTCTTTTAAAGATATAACCCTTTTAGTGAATTTTCGNCCTTATCTATCTAACGAGGGAACATTCCCAAGTGATACCAACCATTCGGGCTCATATTTTGCTCATAAGTAGCATCCAGTGAGATTAGAAAAAGTCTAAAAGATTTCGTGCCATTAGACCTTTCTTTTAAAGATATAACCCTTTTAGTGAATTTTCGGCCCTGGGTAAGGAATTTATAAAGAAATTGAATGATGGAATTTCGAGCTGAAATTTTGCCTAACAATAGATCTCATTGATATTAGAATATAGTAAAAATTTCAGTTAAAATTGATTCTTTCTTCTCGAGATATTGCTTATTGAAGAAAACGTTCGTTTTCCAAAAAATTATCGTGAAATTGATTTTTCTTCAATATGCAATATCTCGAGAAGGAAGAATCAGTTTCAACTGGAACTTTTACTATATTCTAATATCAATGAGATCTATTGCTAGGTAAAATTTCAGCTCGAAATTCCATCATTCAATTTCTTTATAAATTCCTTACCCAGGGCCGAAAATTCACTAAAAGGGTTATATCTTTAAAAGAAAGGTCTAATGGCACGAAATCTTTTAGACTTTTTCTAATCTCACTGGATGCTACTTATGAGCAAAATATGAGCCCGAATGGTTGGTATCACTTGGGAATGTTCCCTCGTTAGATAGATAAGGAAAAATTTCGCTTCTGCAATAAATTTCATACTGTACTATATATGAATGAAAGCGAGAGTTATTGATCATTAAATATATTTTGTTTTTGACGTTTACCACTTAGAATAGTTCAAGATAATATTGAATAGTTTGATGAAGATCGAAGCAGA